TGAACACAAATTAGTTAGCATAAATCAGTTAAATGATGAAAAATGAGGTGTCTATTTACTTGTGACCACGCTGTGTATATATTGCATATTTAATCAAATATTCTGGCAATTACAATAATGAACTGAAATGAAAGCTTCTGCTTGTACTAAACAATCCAATGTAAATATATGTTACATGTAGTAAAAAAAAACAACTTAAACATAAGCTATACACATACAGCAGTCACAAAGTGTGAGTAGTGAAACTATATGGCAAGTTCATTAATGGTTCAAAACATTATTACAGAAATTACAAAATCAAACAAGTTGTAAAATATACTACATTTGTATTTTGTATATAAGCATTTTGCTTTATACAGAGCATTACACCTTGTTTCTGTGCTGCCATACAGTTAATCATTGTCTGATTATGGAATATAGTCCCAAATGTTCTATATTACTCCCCACAATTCAGTCTAATTATATAAATGTCATTTGACCATCACACGCTAGCCCATACAATCCATATTGGACTTTATGTAGACTAAGCCATTGTTGTGGGTGTTCCATCAGTCTTTTGACTATTAGGATACTGTTTCACCATATTTGCTGTGTTGTTGGGATCTTTGTCTCACTGAAACATGAATTGTGTGCCTGATGGAACAGCATGATAGACCAGAATCAGCCCGTACTTGTTGGCAGTCAAGGTGCGATCAATTTTGTTTAGATTACAAACAGAGTTGACTGAGATGCAGCCCATACTTGCACCAGTCCCCAACCATGCTTTCCTGTAGATGATGTCTATTGACTACAATAATGTTTCCCTCTCTGTTAATGAATAACTTCTCATTTGTTGCCAAACTACACAAACTTGAACTCATCTGAAAAGAGCACACATCTATATCTTTGTTCATTACATTCTTTGTGGTCCAATTCAATCTTTTGTTTTGGTTACCTCTTCTCAGGAGAGGTTTGTAAGCAGCTGCACATCCATTGAGGCTCCTTATTTGTACTGCATATTCTCAAGATAATATTTGTTGTTGGCAAAACTTGCATTCTACTTTCACATTTATTCTAAATAACATACCCTGAGAAGTTTTGGTTTCCTACCTCAGTCATTTCTATTACTATCAGTGCCAGTTTCTAGTACTTTCTTCTGCCTTGAATGAAAGTTTTACTGAAAGATGCAGCCTTATTGCAATGTTTTGTAAAGAGTATCCCTGACCAGCCAAATATTTCATTTCTACATAGTTGTCATGTTGTTTTTCCAAACTGGAAGCTATAACTGGATTCAAACTACTACTGCTTCTAGACATACTACAATTGCCTTTTCTTTTAAATGTTTTATTCTGGCATAGATCTTTCTGTAATCTAGTGCAGTTCATTTTCATATAATAAAGGGATGGAATTTCTGTAGTATTTGTCATTTATACCCTTTTTCCTCACTGTTTCCATAATTATTTCCAGAACTGTATAAACACAAAATAACTTAACATTTCAGCATCAACTGCAAGTACTCAAAATGTCTGCACCATAAACTAGTGATAAAAATATTATCTTTTTGTAGGATAAAAATAAAACAAAAATATAATACCAATTGCATAACAGCTGCAAAATGTATAACTGGAAGAAAATACATCCGAAATGGGATCCAAAAGATGCTATAGATATCCCATTTCTTCAAATAAGTTAAAAGATGGAATGATATTATATGGTTGGTTCGTAATGTGATTTTCAAATTGGGTATTATTACACTGTATATGTATTTCACTGTCACATAGTCAGGGGGTTAACTTACATGGCAGTTTCTTTAACATTATTTCACTAAATCTAAAATTTTCTTAATTTCATAACTATTGACAGTTTCTGATTAAGTTATAATTATTTTTAGTTTATATTAGTTTATAATTATCTAAATGATCTTTACTTTATTTATTACAAATCATTCAACTACAAACAAAGTGTAACCAAATCCTGCTTAATTAACTTTACTTTCCTAAGTGAAGATTACATTGCTTGTTATGAAATTACACAAGAGGATAATACAGTTCCATTACATTACTACAATACTTATATTTTGTCTTTAGGTGATGGTGGTTAGATGTATTATGTGATTTACATGGATAATATTTAAGATCTATAATGTTGACATTTTCTAACACTGAAACTATATTCCTGGTAGATACTCACCTCATCTCTCAAACAGCTTTCCCAATTCAGCACTGTTCTTTATATGCCAACTTTTTTCACTTCACTAGCCTTAAGGCTCCCATCTAATCCCACATGTTTTTATGTAATATTGTTGCATGCAAATGATCTTGCGATAACCCTCCACCAACAGAAGTGTGACACACCCTTCCAGCACAAGTGACTCCCTCTATACTGATTGTTCAATCACCCCTTCGAAATTAGACAAGAAATGAAGATGCACCAGAACTGGCTAAGAAGGGTGGGAAGTGTAAGAGTAGGGACTTATATTCCATGCTCCTATCCAAAGTTTGGACAGTACAAAATGTTCAAACGGAAAAGTAATCTTTGTCAATGACAATAAAAAAATGAAAACATCAAGATATCTTCTGAAATAGTTGAATTTGATTTTTTTATAATGCTCTTCACAAACCTTCTATCTCAGCTTCCTTTTTTTTTTCCATAGAGCTTTTCTGAAACAGTTAAAATTTGTTTTCCCCATCTTGCTAATTTCCTTTACAGATTTCCTGAAACAGTTCCATTTTATTTTTATTTTTTATATCTGGCTCATCAAACATCTCTAAATTAACTTTCTTTTCTTTCAAATATTTCTTGAAAGAGTTAAATTTAAGGATCCATTCTCATGGTTTTAAAGGTTTTTCTGCTTCTTCCACAGCTTTGTCTGTTTCCTCCTGCAAATGTTCAACATCTTCCTTCACCATTCTCTTCTTCTCATTCAGTTTCATGATATCTTGCTCACATGGTCCTTTTCTTTGCTTGTTTTTTGCATTCTTGATAGGTGTCAAATTGCGGCTGATATTTTCACCTAGCAGATTTGCAATACAGAATTATGTTTGGAATAATCTGTATGTTTCCTATTCCTCAAGCTTTTGTGACTGTATCCTGGATTAGCTCTGAGAGGCGTACGTGACCTCCTTCTTATTAACCACAATGATATTGAATTTACAGAAAAACCTCTTTCAACAGTAGCATGTCCATGTGAAAGTACTAGCACCAGTTTGATAATGGACCATATTTCTATGTAATTGCCTTCTTCTTCCAGCTGTTTAGCAAAAATGGCACCAAATAATACTTTCCAACCAGGATGACTGTAATAATTAAGGAAGTGGCTATGCTATCTGGTGACTTCATCTGGAAAAAAGTGCTTGAATTACCTTTGTATGTCATCACACTTTAGTTCAGGGAAACATTCCTTTTAATTTCTTCTCACACTCTTCTGGATTCTTTGCCATTTTAGGCAAGAAATGAAGATGCACCAGAACTGGCTAAGAAGGGTGGGAAGTGTAAGAGTAGGGACTTATATTCCATGCTCCTATCCAAAGTTTGGACAGTACAAAATGTTCAAACGGAAAAGTAATCTTTGTCAATGCTTAATGAGAGTCCTGTCCAATAACCTCTTCAGCAGATGAACAAGGCACTTCCTTGCCTCCATTTGAAATTCTAAAATCTCTCTCTCTCTCTTTTGCCAATTTTCTAGGAGAATAATAGATATTTCACAGGTCTTGTCTGCTGAAAAGCCAACATCCATTTTACAAAAACTGAGTAAATCCACATCTGTTACTTCATACTTTGCAACTTTCAGGGTGCCAGAAAGTGGTTTGATAATTTCAGGTTTGAGAATTCTGCTCATCACATCCTTTATCATGTTTTCCCAGTCAGGTGACATGAATGGTGTCATTGGATCATTTGTTTGTTATGTTTCCAAACAGTCGGACACATGGTTTGCCAGAAAGATGAAAAAAAAATGCAACTTTGCAGGAAGGAACAGATTGTCACACACTTCTTTGGCTAAAACAAATGTTTTGAACTTTGAGGTTATGATACTCTTGTCACTTTCA